TTTTCTTGAAACCTTCCATCTCAGAGGAATTCCTAAATGTTGTAATGAATCTAGTGCCACTTTCATCATTAAAATGGTATAATGGGTTCAAAGTCTCTTGAGTAACTAGATCTTCCTTTTGTTAATTTTTTTTCCACTTGCATTTTGATTAGTTGTCACAAGATGCCTGTTCAGAGTAGCTAGGATCTAGTGGGTAGGCATTTTTATTGCATGGATAGCTCTCACAATTTCCTTTTTTTGTTGTTGTTGTTGCAGTTTGGCCAGGGCCAGGTTTGAGCCTACCACCCTCGGTATATGGGGCCAGTGCCCTACTCACTGAGCCATAGGCGCCCCCTGGTTTTTTAAAAATATGCAGCTAAAATAGGATTTTTGACACTAATTGACTTGTACTTTTTCTGTAAGAAATAATAACTATTGCTGAAAACATAAACATGTTGAGATTAAATATTAAAAGATCCATCAGGTGATATACAGCTTAATGCAAAGGTTAAAAGAATATGAAGCCAGGTGTGTGGGGTGTCTCAAACCTGTAATCCTAGCACTTTGGGAGGCCGAGCGGGATGATTGCTTGAGGCTAGGAGTTTAAGACCAGCCTGGGCAACATAGTAAGACACTCTCTCCCTTACAAAAATTAGAAAAAATAGTGAGGCGTGGTGTTATATACCTATAATTCGAGCTCCTTGAGAGGCTAAGGGAGGAGGATCACTTGAGTTCATGAGTTTGAGGTTGCAGTGAGCTATGATGATGCTACTGCACTCTGGCCTGAACAACCCATCAAGACACTGTCTCAGAAAATAAAAAATGGAAAAAGAATTCTGTCAAGTTTATGTTAAATATCAATGACATGTTTACTTACCTATCTAAATATTTGGTTTCCTTCATCTCTCGAAAAATCTTAAAGTATCTTTTTTCCCCCTCTTCCAGGCCCTTTCTTGGCTTCTAGAGACATTGACTAATCTGTTCAGGAGTGCTAGTTTTAAAGAAAAAGTGTTAATCAGCCTATTTTATACTAAGTGAGCACTAATTGCTCCTAATTTCTCTTCTTCATCTTGTTCCTAACAACACAAGGCTTTTAATTCCTGGTTAATGAGTTCTCCATTTATATACCCTCTTCTTAAAGGGAGCATATTTTTTTTCTTACAACATTTTAAATCTACCAAATGAAATTAATTATGTTTAAAATAAATTTGCCTGGGGTTTTCTTTGTAAAGTAGTTTAGGTACTACTACTTCTTTGTATTTTCATAGGGAAAAAGGATTGCTAAACAGAAATAGGTGCAATTACCTATTGATGACCACGCAAACAATGAAGAAAAAATACTTATTGATACCTGCTGTTTCTAAAGCAATATGATAGTTTTATTATACATTTATATTATTTGACATAAATAATAGGGTTGAAGATTGCCAGTCTTCACCAGTTTTCAGCCTATAATAGCAGTGTTACAAAGTTTTAAGCTAATGTGTGATTTTAGAGACTCTTCAGTTCTCTTAGAATTTTGGTCATTTTAAAATTCCCTTATACTTGGCTCGGCACCATTGCTCAGTAGTTAAGGTGCCAGCCACATACACCAGGGCTGGCAGGTTCGAACCTGGCCCCAACCAACTAAACAATAATGACAACTGCAACAAAAAAAATAGCCAAGCATTGTGGTGGGCGCCTGTAGTCCCAGCTACTTGGGAGGCTGAGGCAAGAGAATCACTTAAACCCAAGAGTTTGAGGTTGCTTTGAGCTATGATTTCACAGCACTCTACCAAACACAACAATGTGAGACTCTCGTTTCCTTCCCCCCCCCCAAAAAAAAAAGAAAGAAAGAAATAGAACTTTCCATCTCACTAAAAAGCTGCCTAATACCCCTTGGCATTCTGTCCCCACCCACTCCTATAGGTGCGTAGTTGCCACTAATGTGCTTTCATCATAATCATTTTGCCTGTTTCAGACGTATTTAAATGGAATCACACAAAATGTAAATTTTGTCTGACTTCTTTCATGTAGTATATCCATTCTTAGTTTATATCAGTTTGTCCCTTTTTTTTTTTTTTTTTTGAGACAGAGTCATACTTTGTATCCCCAGTTAGAGTGCTGTGGCATCTTAGCTCACAGTAACCTGAAACTCTTGGACTCAAATGATTCTCTTGTCTCTGCCTCCCGAGTAGCTGGGACTGCAGGTTCCCACCACAACGCCTGGCTATTTTTTTGTTGCAGTTTGGCTGAGGCCATGTTTGAACCTGCCACCCTCCGTGTATGAGGCCGGTGCCCTATCCACTGAACCATAGGTGCTGCCCAATATCTTGATTTTTTTTTTTTTTCCAGTTTTTGGCCGGGGCTGGGTTTGAACCCACCACCTCCAGTATATGGGGCCAGCACCCTACTCCTTTGAGCCACAGACACTGCCCCAATATGTTGATTTTTGAATATTGAACCAGCCTTATATTCTTGGTAAACTCTACTTGGTCGTAATATATTATTCTTTTTACATATTGGTGGATTACTTTTGCTAGTATTTTATTAAGGACTTTTTACCTTTTTTAAAAAATATTTTATTTTTAATTGGCAATAATTGTATATATTTATGAGATACAATGTGATGTTTTAACATGTAGTCATTTGTCACTTAACAATGAGGATACCTTCTGAGCTATTTGTCATTAGGCAATTTTTTTTTTTTTTTTTTTTGAGACAGAGCCTCAAGCTATCCTGGGTAGAGTGCCATGGCATCACAGTTCACAGCAACCTCCAACTCCTGGGCTTAGGTGATTCTCTTGCTTCAGCCTCCCAAGTAGCTGGGACTATAGGCGCCCACCACAAGGCCTGGCTATTTTTTTTAGGTTGCAGCCGTCATTGTTTGGTGGGCCAGGGCTGGATTCGAACCTGTCACCTTAGGTGTACGTGGCTGGCGCCTTAGCCACTTGAGCCACAGGCGCCGAGCCTCATTAGGCAATTTTTTCATTGTATGAACACCATAGAGTGTACTTACACAAACCTAGATGGTATAGCCTGCTGCACACTTAGGCTATATGGTATAATCTGTTATTCCTAGGCCACAAACCTGTACAGCATGTTACTATACTGAATACTGTAGGCAATTTTACCATAAATGGTGTGCATTTATGTATCTAAACATAGAAAAGGCAAACTAAAAATATGGTATAAAATATTTTTTTTAATATAAAAATATTTTTAAATGGTATACTTGTGGTAGGGCACTTGCCATGAACAGAGCTTTATAACACTGGTGGGTGAACATGAAGGCCTACGACATTTGTGTCCAATACTGCAGACTTTATAAACACTGTATATATAAGCTACATTAAATATATAAAAAATAGAAGTAATTGACTGAGTATGGTGGCTCACACCTATAATCCCAGCACTTTGGGAGGCTGAGGCTTGTGGATTGCCTGAGCTAGAGCGAGACCCTGCCTCTAAAAATAGCCAGGCATCGTGGTGGGTGCCTGTAGTCTCAGCTACTTGGAAGGCAAGTCAGAGAGAATCACTTGAGGCTCGGCTCCTATAGCTCAAGTGGCTAGATGCCAGCCACATACACCAAAGTTGGCAGGTTTGAATCCAGCCCAGCCCACCAAACAACAGTGACAACTACAATCAAAAAATAGCTGGGCACATTATGCTGAGTGCCTGTAGTCCCAGCTACTTGGGAGGCTGAGGCAAGAGAATCACTTAAGCCCAAGAGTTTGAGGTTGCTGTGAGCTGTGACGCCATGGCACCCTACCCAGGGCAACAGCTTGAGATTCTATCTCAAAAAAAAAAGAATAACTTGAGCCCAGGGGTCTGAGGTTGCTGTGAGCTGCGATGCTACAGCACTCTACTGGGGGCAACAAAGTGAGACTCTGTCTCAAAAAAAAAAAAAATAGAAGTAATTGTATGACATTACAGTGCCTACACTATAGCATCATGAGGCAGTAGGAATTTTTTAGTTTCATTATAATCTTAAGAGGCCACTGTCATATATGCAGTCTGTCATTGACTAAAATGTTATGAAGCCCTTAACTGTATTCCTAAGCTCAGGCAATCCACCAGCCTTGCCCTCCCAGAATGCTAGGATTATAGGCGTGAACTACTGCAACCAACCTGCTTTGCAAATCTTAATTGCCTCAGCCTCTCTGAACTTGGATTTCTGTCTCATCAACTTACCAAGACTGTTAGGCTATGTTTGAATTTCTCTTCCCTGCACTGCAGCCTAGAAATTTCCTACAAGCAGTAAGCTTTGGCATTTGTATAGCTCACCTTGTTTGTTACTCTCTCTGAGATTGTAGGTCCACACTGCCAGTTGTTTAATGTCTGAAAAATAGCTATTTCACATATTTTATCCAGTTGTTTATCTGGTTGTTTGTGGTGGAGGGGCAATTCCCCTAGTAGTTAATCTTTCATGGACTGAGGGAGAAGTCCTGTATAAATTTTGTATTTTGCCAACTTTTTAGAATAATGAGAAGAAATAAAGTATATCACTTTACCTTTTAACCAGTTCACTCCCAACTTCTCTAACAACTCCCTCTTACATATTTGTATTTACTGCAGAACAAATTGTCACTGTGATCTTCTGCATTAGCTATCCTTAAATTACTCACAGGTGGGGACATCTCACAACACAGATTCATGCTGGATTTTATAAGTTTTCTTAGTATGTTGTAATAACATTTGTATTGCTGTTATTGACTAATTTCTGTCCTAGAGCTAAATGACCTTCGTTCTGAGGGTGACAGATGAGACCTTTCTCTTTCTCTCTTTTTCCAAATACTTATAGCCCCTGAAGCGTTGGAGAAGCTAAGTGGATTTTGGGTTTATTTTTTTTTTTTTAAGTTGCTTTGGCCTTGTTTTTCATCACTAGATTTAGTCTTTGTCTAAATACATTATATGCAGTTGTTGTTATTGTCACTTGTACCTTAATGTTTATTTGCTGCTATTCTCAATTTGTTCACTTGAGTACGTTGAATTTAAAAATACAGCCACATAAGGAGTGTTTGTCTGATTTTGTTTTGTAGGTGGTATAGCTGTATGCTAGGAAAGAAATGCAGCCTGGCACCTCTGAAGGAAGAGCTTCGCATACAAGGGGTGAGGCTTTGTCATTACTGTTCTGGGGTATCTACTTTTGATGGTAGGTTTAGTATAGAATTTTCCTCTGTAACCTGAAACTTTAAATGTGATCTTTTTGTTTTCTCTATTTTTTTTTGAAGTTTTTGGCTGGGGCTGGGTTTGAACCTGCCACCTCTGGTATATGGGGCTGCCGCCCTACTCCTTTGAGCCACAGGCACCACCACCACCCCTTTTTTGTAGAGACAGTCTCATTTTTTGCCCTTGGTAGAGTGCCGTGGCATCACACAGCTCACAGCAACCTTCAACTCCTGGGCTTAGGCGATTCTCTTGCCTCAGCCTCCCGAGTAGCTGAGACTACAGGTGCCCGCCACAATGCCCGGCTATTTTTTTGTTGCGGTTTGTCTGGGGCCGGGTTGGAACCCTTAGTATATGGGGCCAGCACCTTACCCACTGAACCATAGACACTGCTCTTTCTCTTGTTTTTTAAATTCTGTAATTTTAGGGCAAAGGGGACTTTGTATAGATTATTAAAGCAAAAAAAAGAGCTGCAGAAAAACAGGATGAGTAAGATGTCAGAGAAAAAACAGAAATCAGAAAACCTGTTATCTACCACCAACCTCCTATCTAGAGGCTAAACTGAAGGCTGGATAGGGTAAGAGGCCTATTCCAAGCCACACAGTTATGGAAGAACAGTTAGAACCAGAACACAGTGTCAGGCCGTTGTGCTTCTCATTAGGCTGACCATCTACATGAGTGTAGCTTCCTGCTCCTATTCTGAAAGGAAAAGTCACAATTACTTTCCACCTCTTCTCTCCCAGTTTATGCTCTCTGGCATTAGTAGACAAGAGTAAAATGACTTTTCAGCAAAAGGAGTTAGATACTGGTCAGTAGTGAAACCAACCTTCTGGTCTCTGGTTTCTCTCTGACATTCTACCTGTCCTGTTTTCCCCACAACACTATTTCTTTGGTAAATTGTAAAAGCTGCCAAGTAGTTCCTTTTTCTTTCCTAAAATCTGATAGGTAGAGGGGAGATTTCATAGTAGTGTCTAGTCAGGATTTGGTTGGCTCCCTTTCTTAAAAAAGAAAACAAAAGCCACTTGAATTGAATCATTTTACAAATGATTCTCTGAAGAGCTGTATTTTAGGTGTTTCAAATATTTGAATCTTCAAGCTAGATCTGTAAATTCTAATGTTTTATGGAAAGGGAAAAAATACAACTTTGTTGAGAGATAATATATTCCTTCATTATTAGCAGCTGTGTATAAACTGATTTTTGTTAATTAACACTATCAGTTAACTAACACTGTTAACTGATTAAAAAGAAAGAGCAATAGATATTTAACATGAGGCAGAAGGCAGAAACGTTGGTAGAATGTCACTTTGATGAGATGCCATGTTACTCGGTTTCAGGTTCCTAAAGTCACCTACACTGAATTCTGTCAAGGTCGAACAATGAGATGGGCCTTAGCTTGGAGTTTTTATGATGATGTCACAGTCCCAGTAAGTAGAGTCTTTGCATCAGCTTCTCCAAATTCCAGCACATGGTAGATTTTAGTAGGTCAGAAATTAGCTAAATCTGTATTGTTTTGTTTTGCTCAAGTTTGCTGTAAATGCTTATGTCGAAATAGAAAGTGTTTAGAAGCAAGAAGAGTCCTGGACAGCTGACCGGGATGTCCATGGAGCCTTCCCTTAGGGTTTTTGCAACACAGTGATTCTTGCTCAAGAGACAGAAATGCTTCTTTTTTTTTGAGACAGAGCCTCAAGCTGTCCCCCTGGGTAGAGTGCTGTGGCATCATAGCTCACAGCAACCTCAAACTCCTGGGCTCAAGTGAGTCT